ATAGATAGATAGATAGAAATTGTAATAAAGTAAGAAAGAACATCAATTAACAACTATAAACCAGAGACATTCTACAGGCGGGGAGAGGGGAACAAATCAAAAACTGGGTGGGAAGATCACATGAGACTAGAGAGGAAGTGGCTGCAGTCACAGAGGAAGTGACTTTAGAGAGACAGAGGGGGTGTCCGGCTGGAGCTCCCTGACTCTGAGGCCTGTGGGTTTTCTAAATGACCCCAAAGGAGATGAGCTTGAATTGAAAGTTGAGGGCTGGGGGGAGAGCTGTCAGGTGCCACCACATCCCAGGGCCCTCCCAGGGGCCCTGCCCAATTCCTTGTAGCTCAATCCAACCATAAGATATTCTAAACTTCCTCTTCTTCTTGAGACCCAGAGCTTCAAGTCCTGCCCCAAAATAGCTTCTTCATAGAACTGTCCTTACTGAGGTGCTGTACTGACACTCTCTACTCTGTGTGGGATTTGAATTTATCATGCTGGGGCTTAATGTCTAATTGTCCCCCCTTGTTTTATGTTGTGTCTCCCTTCTCTCCTGATACACACACTCCCTCCTCACACTGGGAACCAGACCCTCAATCACACTGGGGTTTATCTGACCCTCTGTCTCTGGTTCCTCCAGAGCCCCCCTCTCTGCATTGTCTCTACTCAGCAGGGTCTGAGCAGCCCCAGGAGTCCCTGCACCTCCTGCTTTGGCCTTGTGGGAAACCCGCCCCTCACTCTGCATGACAGTGAGGAGGCCAAGGCGAGTCCTGAGGTAAGTAATGGATGGAGGAGACAAGCTACTTTTTTGCATTTTCTTTTTCCCTCATTACTGTATTATTTCTATTGAGGCAACATCAGTTTACACACTGCATGTGTCAGAGGCACAGGGCCACCCCTCTTCAGATGTTTGTCACCCCATTACACCCACCTAAGGGCACCATAGTCCTCACCACAGTCCATTAAGCTTCTTCCCACTGTCATCAGCCTCCCACATACCCTGACACTGGCTCATCAGATGGTGTCAACACCCAGCACTCCTTTGGGCCCATCAGGCCAGAGATCTCAGCTCAGGGAAGAGTTTGGCTTAAAGAGCCTCCCTGGGGTGCAGGGGCGGTCTCAGCGCTATAGAGCTGTCACTATGCCAGCCACTGTGGCTGGAGATGGATCCTGGCCAGGGAGGTTACCCCCATGGCTAGCACATTTCTGATATGTCCCTGCTGCTCCCCTCAGCAGTGTATTTCAGCCGATCTGCCTGTTCTTCTCCCCACTCTGTCTCTGGTAAATCCTCTCACCCCCCACACACACACACCTGTGGCCTACACCCCAGGTCTTGTTCAAATGAATAAATAAAAATAATTAACCTTTAATAATACCAAAAAGAATACAGATGACCAGTCAGGGCGTGTCCATGCAGTCTGTGCTGGTGCAGATCCCTGTGCTGGGTGTGGCCCCTCCCTGCCCTATGGGGACAGTGCTCATGGAGAGGACCCTGCACTGCCTCATGCAAGACCCTCAGGCTCGGGGGCCACTAGGAGGTTTTCTTATCCAGCAGGACAGGAGGGAAATACAGGTTCTGAGGCCTCAGAGGCCAACTGCCCTCACACAGTGTCCGCAGCGCCCAACAGTCCCAAACAGGCCGCAGCGGGGAGACAGTGCAGTCCCGTCAGTGAGGTCTGGAGCTGGTGGCCAGCAGCAAGCAGGGGGCCAGGGGCCACTCACTGAGGCAGCTGGGTGTGTCCCAGATGGGGCTCCCCTCTGAGGAGACACCCCGGCCAGCACAGTGCAGTCTCAGGCCGGGTTGGATGGGAGGGGGCAGGAGACCTGAGGTTGGGGGGACAGTCCGCAGCAGTGACAGCCTCAAAGGTGACCTTGCTGCTGCAGCCCCAGTGGGCTGCCTGCCCAGACCAGTGTGGGGGGACAGAGAACCTCCACTCTAGCCCTGGCTGCCCAACTTTGCCCACTGACACTGGTGGTGGCTGGTGGTAAAATGCCCACCTAGTGCCCCACTGCCACTCCCGCTGCTTTTGCAGGGTGGCCTGGGCCCTGCCCTCCAGCAGCACCTCCTGGAGCCTGCCAGAGAGGGTGGGGTCCACTCAAACCCAGTTGATGCCCCCCAAGTATTCCTAGCTCAGGGAGGTGGGCCTCAGTGAAGATGCGCCTGCTGCTGCCCAAAAGTGGCTGGAGGACACTCTAGGGGGTACCAGGGAGAATCCTGCCGCACCACCTGAGCCCCAGGGTCTCCTTCGCTCTAGGGGAGGGGCCACTTGACAGCTGCATGTCCAGGGAGGGGGCAGGAAACCCCCTCTGCCGTGACCTCCGGACTGTGTCCACCAGCTCCCACCTGCACGGCTGGGTGCCAGGGCAGGAGCCACACTGCTGCTGCCAGCGCTTTCAGCCCCTGTTCCCTCTGGCTCTGGGGTGGCTGCACCAACAAAGCCCCGTGTCCCACTGCTTAGGGGCCAGCAAGGAGCTGGTTAAGGCATCGGGTCTGGGTCAGTGTTTTATACTGTGGTGCTGTATACACACATGCATGTTAATTCCTTTAGTAAATTTTACTTAGAAAAAATGTATCATCCATTTGTATCAAATGAGTGAGAAACCCCTCCAGGAGCAGTGACAGGTTCTCTGTGCTGAGAGGAACCACTTCCTCATGTCACCTGGTTCACCTCCTGAGAGAAAACACAACAGGCACCAACACAAGGCTGCTGCTAAAATTGAGAACTGAAACCTGCATATCCGCTCCAGCTTCCACATAAACACAGAGCCTCAGGCTCTGCTCTAGACCTTCTGATTCTTCGCGGGCATCCAGGGGACCCCTGTGCTCACTGAAGTGGGAGCTCCTTGGTCCCCACCTTCTCCACGTGGGGTCAGATGGTGCAGTGGCTCTGGGGGTGTCTGTTCAGGTCACCCACACTGGGGGCCCAGGGTTCAGTCCTGCTCCCTTCTCCTCCTTAGTCATCAATTTCTGGGGGACCCTTCATACTCAAGACCCCAAATGCCATTTACATCACATCACCTGGAGGGCAGGGACACCTTTACACATCCCCAGGCCCACGACTGAGAGACCATCATGCAGCAGATTTGCAAGGCAAGAAGCTGTTCCCCAGGGAGGTGCTCCCCTGCTATTCATTTAACAGTTGTGAACTAGCAGGATTGATTATGTGACAATGCGGGAGAGGCAGAAACAAAGCGTGTTCATCTTACGGAGAGCAGGACTTCTCAGGGGTCAAAGGGCAATGAAAGGGTAATGAATATCATGGGGAGCAGGGGAGGGTGTGTCGGCCACATGACTGGAGGACTTCTCCTGCAGGTGCATGGTAGAATTTGAGGCTCCTTCCGGACCATCTCAGACTCTGACCACACAATCAGTCAACAGTTACCCACGCCCCTGGCCCCCTCCAGATGTGGGTGGTTGTCCTGGGGCAGTCATGTGGGAACACCTAGTCAGGGTTTGCCCTTTACACACACAGATGCGCAGAGAGGTCAAGGCACGCAGGTGCAGGGCCCAGGTAGATGAAAGGCCACACCACCTCCCAGACCTGTTTCTCAGTCCCCATGTCACCTGTGCTCGGGCTTGTCTGTCAGTTGCCACCATCACGGCATGTCCAATACCTTCAGTGTCATCTCTCCTAATGGACACCCAGGTGGCGTGGCCAGCTAACACATGCTGTCTGACAAGATCTGAGCTTATGGGGGCCCCAAAGCTGGCTCCTGCTGGACCTCTCTATTTTGTTTTTGCCACTCCTGCGATTGAAACAACTTTTTCATTCGATTGCATCTGATGAAGTCAAAAGTGATTTTACAGTTGGCTGTTTAATAAAAGCAATTGGCTGTTATAGTAAATATTGTAAAACAATATTGTAAAACAAGGCAGCACTAAGAACATGTTAAAAAAAAAAAAAAAACCTGAGCAAAAGATAACTAACTAACTTGAGCACTCTTCCTGCCTGGAACCGATAACTGAAATCCTTCCCATCATTCTACTACCTTTCTTTTTTTTTTTTTTTTTTTAAATATTACATCAAGTCCTTTTCTATATTCTTTTTTTTTTTAATTTATTTATTTGTGCATACAGAACTGGGGTACAGGCCAGAGGCTCAGGGGTGGTGAGAGGCTTCACCAGAGACAGAGTGGGGAGCAGAACAGGCAGATAGACAAAGTACACTGATGAGGGGAGCAGCGGGCAGGTCAGGAGAGGTCTGCCACACCATGTGGTCACCTCCGGGGCAGGCGGGGATTGAACTCATGCGGAAGTGGCTTTAGCTTCTTAGTGCTATGCTGCGCCACCAGGGAGGGCCTCTACTACCTTTCTTAAGTCTTGTTCAGCCTTTAGTGAGAAACACTGCTATCTCTCTTTTAGTGATAGATTCACAAGTAAAGTAAACTTTTCCACTCTGGCCCTTTACTTCATTTCCTTCACATACAGGATGCCTTAATGAGAAAGAAGTCTATTAAATATTAACTAGAGTGAAAGTGTCTTCCTTTTAGCTAACCTTTCACTGTGGTAAATATAGAAATGTCAGTCTTAAATTTTATGAATTTATGTACCTGTTTTAACATTAATAGGTCGATTGTTCAGTTGTAAAGAGTAACGCCTGAAATGAGGCCACCTTGTTTAACAATTGGGCTTTTCTTTTAAGAATAATTAATGTTATAATCTTAGCGGGTAGCAGGAGGTCAAAAAGACCCCAAACTGTTTCTAGAAAAAGGGCAATGATTGTTATCTTTCTGCTTAATACATATGCTAATGTTATTCCACTGCTTGCTTATAATGTATAAATAAAGTCCTGCTAAGATTGTGGCAGGAGACACTTGCACCCTAGCCTGACTCCCTATGTTCCTCACTCCCACTCCCCCTGTCCCTCCTCAACAGTTTCCCATCTTCAAAGACCCTGCCCTGCTGTTTGTTGTAGCTGGTCTCCTCAGACAGGGCTCTTCCCAGCCTCCCATGTCTGCAGGCTCCATATCCACCTGCAGTCTGAATGCTGGGGTCCTCCTGACTCCTCTTTCTCACAGCCCAGGTCTGTGGCCGGAATCCCATCCTGAACTGACCCGGCCACACGCAGCCGCCCACATTCCTGGAACAGGACAGGCCCAGGGATGTCTGGGTCCCTGTCATAACTCACTCCTGGAGCTTTTAATATACACATAGATACTTTATTGAGGTGCATGAGGCTGGTCATGTGTTAGGCTTGCAGGGTCACCACAGCACCACACCCACCCAGCACCAGAGTCACCATCATGGTCCAAGTGCCCCACCCTCCCTTGTCCTCACCCCCCACTGTTCTCTGGCAACTGTGAGGTTGTGAGAAGAATTACTCCTGGTAATGAGGTGACAGTAAACATGGTTCTCACAGGCTCAGGTCTTCAAAAACTGTAGGTGGTTCACGAGAGAATGATCACAGACAATAGTTAAGTGTTGCAAAGAGAAAAAGGCTCAAAGCACCAATACTTCTCAGTCAGGAGAGGAACAGTTTGTGTGAAGATGTCACCTCTGGCCCTGTGGTTGGACATAAAAATGCTGTAAAAATCATAACCTGCAGCATCGAGTACAAGACCCATCTCACCCCAGCAAACAGCAGGGGCTGGAGGGCCCCAGGGTGTTGTAGGCACAAGAAGACACAATGGGGGACCCCCATCAGCTGGCATCAGGCTTTGTTGTCAAAATGAATCTGATCAAAACTAGAGAGATTCAGTCCCCATCAGCGCTGCCTGGCCAGGAAGACCGGTCTGGTCTGCAGCCCTGGTCAGCACCAGGCACAGCCGGGGGGCACCGAGTTAGGACTGAAGTCTGCCCCACCTGGCCTCTGTGTGGGTTGGCATCTCCATGTCCACGTGATAGTGATGCCCTCAGGTGTATTTCTCTCCTTTGACCCCACGGGTCAGCACAGTCCCCTCCAGCGCCATCCCCGCTGCAGAGATGGCAGGAGTTGGAGTTTCTGACAGCTGAATCCCTCCCTGCCTTCATCCCCTGTCCTGGGCACTGGAGAAGTTGCCAGCTTGGCTGCTGTCACTGGTGCTCAGTGACCAGGGAGTGGCGTTTCCTGTCACAGTCTAAGTCTGTGCCCCTCCAGACACCGGGGAGGGGCCTTAAAACAGATTTCTATAAGGCCTGAACCAGTTTACAACCCCCCCCCCCACCAAACAGTGTAAAACTGTTCCCTTTCTCTATCCTCTCAACAGCACATAACATAATATGGTGGTCTTCCAGAATCTCTCCCCCTTTATCCATGTTCTTGCCAGCACTTGATAGTTCTGATCTTTTTGAATTGGGCCATTCACACAGGTATGAAGTGTTTTAAAGCAGGAGGTTGTGAGTCACCAAATGGGGGAAAGAAATCCTGTAACCCTCAGTCCCACACAAGGCAACTGTCTCACACTGTGAAAGAAAATCATATTCAAGAATTTCAGGTGAATGACCTGAAGTGTGCACATTCTCCATAGCCCACCCGTTCTGTGAGCCCACCCCCCCAAAACTCCCCCATAACCTGGTCCCTCCTCTCTGCCCCAGCCCCTCCCATGCAGGCCTCAGGGTCTCACCTTTAGGGGCTGAGAGACACATCAGGTCCTTGGGCACTATCGCTGCCTGGGGGAGAACAACACAGACCTGGTCAGAGCCACGAGAGAGGAGACCACAAGCGGGACTGATGGAGGTGACTCGCCCCAGGGGCTCCATCTACACTGTCCCAGGGGCTCAGGGACCAAACCCCTATCCACTTGGATCCTATCTGCAGCCTGAGTGTAGCTTCCTCCTCCCCTTGTGGGAAGAGACACCATGTCAGACCAGGGAAGACTCAGGTCAGAAGTCTTAAAGGAATTTTCTAATCCTGGTCCACAGAGAGGTTTTCAGAACTGTGACTAAAGACCTTGGTCAGGACCAGGAAATATGATGGAATGAGATTGTGATGGGTGGGGACTGGACCAAATCCTGTTTGGTTAACATACTTATTTGGATCCTAATTCCCATTAACCAGGCAGGGAAAGTTCTCCCGGGACTTGAAAGCCCCCAGTGGAAAAGATCCCCCACCCCCTTCCCTACCTGAGTGCTTCTTCCTCCATACCACAGCTGCAGCCACCGCAGCCCCAGTGAGCACAGCGCCAAGGAAAACCAGGCCAGCAATGAGGCCCCCGGTGGGGGTGGAGGACTGAGGTGGTGGCACGGTGGAGATGAAGTACCAAAGCGGTGGCATGGTGGGCGTGAAGTACCGAGGCGGTGGCATGGTGGGCATGAAGTACCAAGGAGGGGGCTCTGGAAGGGAAGGAGAGGTGAGGCTTGAAGTACCAGGCCTCTGAAGGTCCCCAGAAGGACCCCTGATATCCTGAGAAGAGCTTCTGTGCCCACATCCCCTCCTCACCCCATCTCAGGACTCGGGGCTCCATCAGCCCCTCATGCTGCACATGGCACGTGTATCTCTGCTCCTCTCCAGAAGGCACCACCACAGCTGCCCACTTCTGGAAGGTTCCATCCCCCCCAGGCCTGGTCTCCACCAGCTCCGTGTCCTGGGTCAGGTCCTTCCCATCTCGCTGCCAGGTCAGGGTGATCTCCGCAGGGTAGAAGCCCAGGGCCCAGCACCTCAGGGTGACCTCATGGTCTGAGATGGTGTGGTGCGTCATGTGTGTCTTTGGGGGATCTGAGGAAAAGGGCATGAACATTCACACTTTGGGGTTTTCCCTCATGGACCCTGGAAAAGCCTCCTGTGACCATCCTCAAAATGGACAGGGCAGTGGGTTTGGATAGAGGAAGCACAAGTCTAGGAACCAGCCAGGTCTGGGAGTCTGGAGTAATCTCTTATTTCTTAGAAAGTTCTAGAATTAGGTTGAATGTTCTAGATAGGAGGACACAGATTGTTAAGTAGAATTGCACAGGCTTTTGCTCCTGACCTGGGTGGGGACTCAGAAAAATCAGGAGTCAGATCAGAAAAGTGTCCTCCGACCAATAATAACAAGACCTTGAGTGAGAAACTGTGGGTTCCCGAGATGGCTTGCTGGGTCAAAAGGATCCAGTGCAGGGTGAGCTCAGGACCTGTCTCCCTCAGCTCAAGAGAGATTGGATTCTTAGCTGTTCTGAGGAAAAGCTGGGTCCTCTGGGGGAGTCAGAAAACCCAGAGGGGGGTACTTCTTCCCTTATGAGAGGGAGAGAGCTGCTGTGACCCTGAATCCCCTCTCCCCATGGGGGCCTGAGGGAGATGGGGAGACCTCTCAGCCCTCTTACCTGGGCGCTGCAGTGTCTCCCTCCCCAGCTCCAGGTATCTGAGCAGCCAGTCCACGCACGCCCCCTCCAGGTAGCTCCTCCAGTGCTCTGCAGCTCCAGCCGCCTCCCTCTTGCGCCTGGTGATCTGAGCAGCGGTGTCCGCCGCGGTCCAGGAGCGCAAGTCCGGGTTCAGGGCGATGTAGTCGGCGCCATCGTAGGCGGACTGACTGTACCCGCGGAGGAAGCGCCTGTCGGGCCCCACTTCGCAGCCGTACATCTCCTGGAGGGTGTGAGACCCTGTCCCCGCCCCATCAGTCCCGCGGTCACTCGCCCGCACCGGCCCTCGCTCCGGGAATAACCCTGAGCTGACACTGAAGCGAGGGGTGACAGTGCCGCGGACTCTTCCTGGGTCCAAGTCAGGGCGTGCCCACCAGCCTGGGGTGATGCTCGACCCCGAGTCTGGGTTCCCCTAGGGGCAGTGGTGGGGGTAACCTGGCCCCGCCGCCTCACCCGCTGCGCTCTGGTTGTAGTAGCGGCGCAGGTTGCTCAGGCTGTCTCTGTAGGCCGCTGTGTTGCTCCTGAGGATCCGCGTCTCCTCCTCCCAGTACTCCCGCCCCTCCTGCTCCACCCAGGACGTCCGCGGCTCCGCGCTCTGACCCGGAGCGTCGCTGTCGAACCTCACGAACTGCGTGTCGTCCACGTAGCCCACGGCGATGAAGCGGGGTTCCCCGAGGCCGGGTCGGGACCACGTGGTGTAGAAATACCTCAGGGAGTGGGGGCCTGGGGGGTGGAAGGGGTGAGGCCAGATGAACCTCCTCTCTGCAAGGTCCTGGGGAGATGAGCCCTGAGGCAGGAAGGCTATGGGGCTGCTGAGCTCTGTAAGGGGCAGCAGGACTAGAAGGCTTGAGACTCAGGTATGGCGAGGAGGGAGGCTGAAGGGACAGGAAGGGGCCAGGGCAGGAGGGCCAAGGGGGCCACAGGGCCAGTGGCTGTGGAGAGGCCCCTTTCCCGGCGTCCTGCGCCCCCTCTGGGACCCTCTAGTTCTTCTCTCCTCAGTGGCCTTTTCCCTCCCGACATGGTACTCACCTGCCCAGGTCTCCCTCAGGGCCAGGACCCCTGAGAGCAGCAGCAGGAGAGTTGGGGACCTCATGACCTGAGCTCTGGAGTCCCTGACAATCTGAGTCTCTCTGCAGGTTGGTGGAGACTGGAAGATGCTGATTGGCTACTCGGGAAACCCTCCCCCACCCAAGGCAATGGGGAGTGAGAACTGGGATGGGTCACCAGTATCCAGGCAGAGGATCAGACTCAAGTTGGGAGAAAAAGGGAGGTGAAACTGGGGAGATGGAGAATCCTCAGCAGTAACCTTCCAGCCCCTTCCTCAGAGAGCCACACCTGGCTCCTGGGACTCTGCCTGCCCCCTCCTGTCCTGCACCAAGACCTTGTCACACCCTGTCCCTGAGGGGGGGGCGGGGTCAGAGATTTTCAAGCATTTTACTTTCAGGGTCTCTATCATTTTCACAAATTAGCGAGGACCTCAGTATAATTTTAGGAGGTTACAGCTCTCAATATTTACTACACGAGAAATAAAACCAAGTTAAAGATGTTTTTATTTAATTCAAAATAATATTCACAGCAATGAGCGGATCTTTTACAGCTTATATTTTTGCAATAGTCTTTCTTCTCTGTCTCATTAAAAGATTATTGGAGTGTCATCATTTCTCCTGCATCTGCTCTGTTGTTTGGTTTCATTTATGATGAAAACCTATACAGCATGCCTGAAATATGTGAGAATAGCATTTCAGTTAACTTGCAGATACTTGTGAATACTCACATTTGTTACACTTTGACAATAAATTGAAACTGTAGTTTCAATTGTAAAAGTGATGGCTTTTCAAATGTTATTTGCAAAGTGAAACAATATCATTGAATATTTTCCATTCTGTTACATTTATTCCACAAGCCTCTTTGATTATTAAACTTGAACTGCCACGTGGTTTTACAAAGTGATGCATATGTTTTACTAGGCTGTATGACCTTTATGTTAATTAATCTAGAATCAAATTTTCAAAATCATGTTTTATGTTCCAAAGATCCCAAAAGAAAAGTAGATGGCTACTGGCAATTGTCAAGTTCATAGTGATGGGTCACAATTTTCCACTACCTGGTTTTCACTGGGAGCTTGTCCTTTATCAAGGTGGTTAATTACTATCATTTGTCAACTGTCAGTTGGGACAAAAGGGACAGGTTCACATTCACTTTCTAGAAAGTGTGTGCAGGTTAACCAAATCTAAAGAATGATAGTTTTGTCATCCATCCCTTCAAGTAAAGATGGCAGTGCTCCTCCAACAACCCCCCAAAAATCTAATTCACCTCATACAAAATAGCTTCCTTGTGACATAGAACTTGGATTGTGGCAGAAGTGACATATATGTGCTCTGTGTCAGACACTGAGTTTGCTTTGTCTTGAATCTTTCTCTCAGGCCTGAGGAGATGCTTCCCTGTGTTTTGAGCCAGGACCCCTAGATCTTCATTCTGCATGGCAGGGTGGGGGGGGGGGTATCTCTGCCTCATCCCTATCCCTCCCTCCTGTCCCCTCCTGGGCAGGCTTCTCCTCTGGGCTCTGGTGCTGGACCTGCCTGTGGTGGGCTGACAAGTATGTGTCATCACCAGTCTTCCCTTTCCTAACTGTTAACAAAGGGTGACAATGTTTCACTCTCTCCTGCTGTGAAACTGCTCTCTTTCTCTAGCTGTCAGAGGTGTGATCTGTTTCCTTTAAAGGGTGGTGCATCTTCATGAAGAACTAAAATGATCAGATGACCTGACAAAGAAAGATGCGCACAGGACACAGTGAGCTAATCACACATAATCTCACTCTGTGGGGAGGACGAGGTTGTGTGAAAGAAGAGCCAATTCACTACAGATGAGACATAATACTCAAAAACAAAGAATACATTTAGCATTGTATATGGAGACACTGGACTAATAAATAGTGAGTCAGTTACAAAGAGAAACAGGCTGTCCCTGAGATCTGGGAAGTGGGGCCGTGGGAGATGGGGATGTTTGACTTCCTAAAAAGTCTCATGGAAGCATGCACTTTTTTTTTTTAAGATTTATTTATTTGTGCATACAGAACTGGGGTACAGGCCAGAGGTGCAAGGGCAGTGAGGGGATTCACCAGAGACAAAGTGGGGAGCAAAACAGGCAGATTAAGGAAGTGCACTGCTGAGGGGAGCAGCGGGCGGGTCAGGAGAGGTCCGCAGCACCATGTGGTCACCTCCGGGGCAGGTGGGAATTGAACTCATGCGGAAGTGGCTTTAGCTTCTTAGTGCTGTGCTTTAACCTGCTGCGCAACCAGGGAGGGCCAGGAAGCATGCACTTTTAAAACTATGTGTGTATGTCTATTTGCAAAACATTAGGAGACAATCTAGTGGGTGAGAGAATGGCCTCACTGGAGATCTGTCTCTAAGGAGGGCCATAGACATGGGGAGCGGTGGAGGGGATGGGTCAGGTGGTAGACTATGGGGGAAATTACACTGGTTGAGCTGTATTCAGTGAATGGAGATAGGACAGCGTGCGAGTATGCAGAAAACCTGAACCACAGAGAGCAGAAGATGAGACAAGCAAGGTCTGCTGTGCCATGTGGGTCAGCTCCCGGCCACAGTGTGATAGCCCTGAGACTTAACCTTTACACTGCCAGGGAGGCCCCACATTTGATATATTTTTTTTACAATGAATGTACATTATGCACATAAGTTCCATTATATATACACATACATGCACACATCTAATCAGAATGAAACATCTTTTTTACTGTATTTTCCATTTACAGCAACATGGATGGAGCTGGAAGGGATCATGCTTAGTGAAATAAGCCAGAAAGAGGAAGAAAAGTACTGAATGGTTTCACTCATAGGAGGAGTGAAGGGACCAGGGAGTGAAAAAATAATTGTAATTGTAAGGTTGAGGCGTCCTGGGCAAGGCTGGAGGGAACCTTGAATCTGGGGCTATTACTGTCTGCAGCTGGAGCCTCCTAACCTTGAGCCCCCTAAAGTCTGGGAGCTACCTGCTCTTTGGGAATCAACTCTGCACGGCTGGCATAATATAAGCTATAAGTGTCCCTGATTAACTGTCTTGGAAAAAAGCAACACAAAGCAGCTCCCTCCCCTATAAAGCTCCCCTGTACTCCCCAGCAGGCAACTTCACTGACCTATACTCTGTCTTTGGGGTCTGTGACCCTCACCCTGAAGCACAATATAGTTCCTACTTGTTAGAAACTTGGCCTGCCCTTCCATCCTCTAACAGTGCCTAGCCTCCTGATCCTTTCAGGCTCAACCCCACCCACCAGTACAGAGCTCCTCTCCCCCTCACCCTGCCCTGGGTCACTCTCACAGGCTGAGGGGCACACTGGGGTTTAACTGGCCTTTTCCTGACCGCCCCTGAGGATAAACACTTACCCATGTCCCTGTTGGCATCTGTCTGTCTGCTTTAGGAAAGTGCCTATTTAACTCCTGTTTTGATTGGGGTGTTATTTTGATTTTGGAGTTCTTTGCAGACCTTGGATATTAACCCCTTGTTGGATAGGGATGTGCAAATATTTTCTCCTGCTCTGTACTGTCTTGATTTTAGTGATAGTTTCCTTCACTGTATAGAATCTTTGTAGTCTGGCTAAGTCTGGGTTATTTTTTTTCTTTTTTGCCTCGTTTCGTTGGAGCACATTAAACATGAGGGCAGTGAAACACTCTTCCTGACATTCTAATAGTGGACACAGGTCATTGTACATTGTCCAACACCCAAGGAGAGCCCCAGGAAGCCACAGACTTGGGGAGATGCTGGCGTGTGGGTTCATCACTCGTGACAGACGCCGCTGGGCAGCCTGTGATTGAACATGGACTGTGAGTGTTGAACAGGTTGAAGAATTCAGCACAATTTACTTTTTTTTTTAAAGATTTATTTATTTGTGCATACAGAACTGGGGTACAGGCCAGAGGCTCAGGGGTGGTGAGAGGCTTCACCAGAGACAGAGCAGGGAACAGAACAGGCAGATCCACGAAGTACACTGCTGAGGGGAGCAGCGGGCGGGTCAGAAGAGGTCTGCCACACCATGTGGTCACCTTGGGGCAGGCTGGAATTGAACTCATGCAGAAGCAGCTTTAGATTCTCAGTGCTATGTTTTAACCCGCTGCGCCACCAGGGAGGGCCCAATTTACTTTTGATAACATCTCTTGTGCATGCAAAGACCTGTAAATAACACTGAAGCATCACATAGATAAGTCACTCCCCTGGACCTCAACACCCCTGTCAGCCAGTATCTGCCCAAATCCAGTTTACAATTTATCATCTGTCTTCTCAAAAAAGTATATCCAAGCTTCTGTCTGGACAATCATGTTTGTTTCTGTTCAGTACAGGAGCTCAGGACAGAGAGTGGGGAAGATATTGCAAATCATGAAGCCGCTAAAGGACTATATATCTCGAATTTACAAAATAGCCCTTTAAACTCTATATCAGAGACAAATAACCCAATTTTAAAAAACACAAAAACAGTGTAGTAAATCAATATCTCTGTAAAAACGTGGGCAAGAGACTTGAACAGACACTTCAGAGACACAGATGACAAGTAAGTGGCCCTCGGTGGTGCAATGGGTTAAGATGCAGCACTATGAAGCTATCCACAGCCACGGCAAGAGTTCAATTCCCCACCGGGGGACCCAGATGGCACGGCAGACCTCGTTGTCTAGCCCGCTGCTCCTCTCAGCAGTGTACTTCGTTGATCTGCCTGTTCTGCTCCCCACTCTGCCTTTGGTGAGGCCTCTCACTGCCCCTACACCTCTCGCCTGTACCCCAGTTCTGCATGCACAAATAAATTAATTAATTAAAAAAAAGATGCTCAATGTCACAGGTCACTAAGGAAAGACAGTTAAGATAGTTAAGATCAACAGTGACACCATCACATGTGGAAGAAGCTGAAAATCCCAACACCACACAGCACCGGGGCCGCCCAGGGTGTGGCCAGCAGGTGCCTCCTCCCTGGGACAGGAACACAGATGGCCCAGTCACTGAGAAGATGCTCACCAGTGTCTGTGAAAGCTGAAAAAGACTGAGCACACGCCCAGCCACTCACACAGCTCATTTACACTTATATTTGCCCAACACCCTGTATGCCATTTATAGCAGGACACCTGC